ATGATTGGCTGATGAACTTACGATCTCTTAACTTTTTTTGAAAGTATGAGCCCTGGGCTAAGTGCTTGATGCTGTACGTGTGCCTTGACGAAAGAGTAGCTTCATCAGCATAAACAATCAATTGTTTCAAGGTGAGGTGACTGAGATTTGTGCAGATCTTCTAAAACTAAAATATTCAGATAGACAAAAATTGTTCAACTGAATTTTTGTCGAACAACAGCGTAGTAATTTATATAAATGACAATTTAATTTAATTTAATTTAATTAATTAATTAATTTAATTTAATTCTTTTGAATGACACTTTAAGCGCCACTAAAAAGAATTGGCTTACATGTAAACCTGTAGTTCGCGCACGAACTTTGATACTAAACAAGCCTCTACAGTGAGTGCGAGATACTTTGCAGTTACCAAGTCACGTTTCGAGTACTTATTAGAAGATTGATCACAAAGTCTGCCGAGTATAATTTAAGATATTTATTTTAAATATTTTTAACGTTCAAGCCTCAAAAAAATAAATAATACGGAATCATAAGTAAAGGTCACGAAACTTCGATAAGAGATAACAACTCTTCAAGCGAATTAATGTTCGTTTCAGAAGTACTATGGCAAAAAGATTTCAAAAATTCCCATCAGAAGTTAAGCATCTAGTAATTTCGTAACGCTTTTGTAGGCTTGACAGCGACACATCGTTACACACTCGAGTCGTTAATTCCTTTCAATGTTTCGTAACACTTGCCAAACATAGTGACACCGGACAAAAAGAATATACAGGTCGACGATGAAGCTGTATTTAAGGAATCAGAATTCATATAATTGGGAAAGATAAATTGGAAAAGATAAAAAATACATCATAAAAAACTTGAGCGATTAGTGAATTTACAATATTAATTAATGAAAAACTTATCAGCGATTAGTGAATTTCTAAGAAACTTGAAGTATTAGCACAGCGGTGCTGGCTCTTTCCTAACTTTACACCAAAACAAGTCTGGTCAACGAGAGAAAGAAATTACGTATCTTAATTCATAAATGTAAATCGGTAAAAATTGACCAATGTTGGCAACACCACGGAAATCGTGAATCGACGAGTAAACAAAAATTGATCAAATTGCTGTTGAATGTCGATTTCCTTTGACTCGAATGAATTGATGTCATTGCTGAAATATTATACAATTGTATCATTCTTATGTAATTGTTTCAAAGGGCGCGCCCGAATCAGGGTCTTCTTAAGAGTTGAAATCAGAGAAAATTTCAACTACTACACAAAAAGCAACGGTCGTCTCTTTCGAAAGACTCGCTCACATTATTCATAGTAACCTCTAGAGTCTAGAATAATGGCGAGACAGTCGGAACACCCCACCGCACACATAAATGAAAATATACGAGTACTTACAATTTCAGAAAATTTAAATTTTAAATTCGAGCCGTTAGAGTTTTCAAAAATCTTACAATCTCATTAAACCGTATTAATAACCATATGGTCTACTTGTGGAGTAGACAATAACGTTGTCCATTGGATTGGTCACTGGGTTAAACTATATCGGAAGACGCCTATAACGATATAGTTTAGACGCCTGTTAACATCAATAAGAAGTCAACGCGATCAAATGGATAACTAACTGGAACAAGCATGTCACAGAGCGACAATTCTCTACGGGTTCCATCTCACACAAGTTTTGCAACTGAGAAAAATGTGTTCATTAACTACAGAGAAAAAACATAAGTTAACAGTAAAACAAATTGGCTCAATTGTTTTAGTTTGCAGCAAAAATAATGCAGGAAGAAGTTCATATAAACTTTTTGCACAGAGCAACACTTGATTGCTTTAGAAAAACTTCGTACAAGGGTCATCGTATTAAAAGACACTATTATAGTCAGTGTTGATTCAGTTAACACGATTCTCATTGCCATGTTTATAATACACATCTAAAACCAACAAAACCATATATAGTATGGGAAATATATTCGACCAGGAAGCAAAATTTCGTCCCGACCAAAAATATTTTTCGGCATAACGCCACATTTCTCAACAGAGAGGTCGGCACAGGAAGCTAAATTTTCCCATAACTGTGGGCCGAGTAGGTTTTCAGCCGCGGTCCATAATCGCATGAAAGACGTGAATCTGCCTAATTTGCCTCCATAGGGCAATACTCGCGAACCTAAGAGACCACTTAACACACTAATGGAGCTTCTACTAAGGTCCAGATTAAGGCTCGGACCAGTAGATTACCACAAGGCTCGCTTATCCTGAAGCTTACGACCCACACGGAAAATTTGAGACGTTTACTAAGCAGAGGTTAAATATAAGGCGCAGATGCTGATCCGGCCTTGCGCTTGAGCTTAGGCTGAACGCTTGCTGAAACTTTATGGAATTTTACATGGAAATTAGGGTTAATCAAGTACAAACTGAGTTAGACGGGGAATTTTAAAAGACTTATTTCAACATTCAATAATTCACTAGCCCGGTATATCGCCCAAATTCGTTAAAAATTAGTAATATCATAGGGGGATAATCAAAGGTTTAAAAAATTATCACTCGTTCTTACATCAAGCATTCAATCTCTACCGAATAAATTGTGCCGGAGGTATATTACTGATCTATTAATTGAAGGCGCACCCGTTCCAAATATCATAAAAATAATAAAACCAATAAGTACTATAGGTATATAGTCGTCCAAATCTTGAGATTGTTTGGAGAAAAAAAATCCCGCCCTAACAATTCAACCATTTCTCAAAATCGAACATGGGCTATCCAAAAAAATAAACTTGCAGTTCTTTCCTAAAGTTGCGAGATAAATTGCTGAAAGCAAACTGTGAAATGGAAAGCAGCTTCAAGTTTTGCTCTCCGAAAAACTCCAGATTGAAGTTACCTGAAATCTTGTTAAATAAAATTCACTTCAAGCCAGGGAATGGAACTGAAAAGTGAAGAGCAGCAGAACAATTTGATTACAGACAAACGCGAAGGAATGAAAACGTTTTATCAGCTCATTACGCACAAAATTTTCAGATAGAATTCTGGAATTTCTGGGCCGATCAATTTTATGAAACATTAGATACAAACACGCGCACGAAATACGTACTACATAATTTGTCATAGTTTACTTCGTTCAATACCCAACCGAGTAATGAATAAGCTCCAATTGGCATCATCCAAACATTGAACTTATTCACAATGAAGGAAGATGAGTGACTTTGCTTCTACTCGGCTTCAACGGAGAATCAACAAACAAATCGTACTTGGTGGACAAGTGCCGACAATACATGACGGTGATATACTTGACAGGATTGCATTTGGAGCATTTGATAACGATACAAATACAGATGCAGCGTGATCCTATTCGAAGCATATTATCAGCGGTATATTTACAATAAAATTTAGTTAATTCCATGAAATCTCCCTACATTCAATTCCATGGAATTTCATCCTAATTTGTATTTTAATGGTATTTTACGGCTTTAGCCACCAAATGACATGGGTGAGACAACAATTATGCACTCGGGTTCATATAGAAAAGGTAGCTATTTCCTTACCGATCACGAGAATGAGATGACCATTATACTCTCGCTCACATGGACAAAACAATTCAACAATTTATAGACCGTTTATTGGCGGGAGAAAAGCATTTCACTCTTTCCCGAAGTGGGCTAAATTTATTAAGGAAACGGCATTGAAAACAGATATATGTAACAGCTATGAGCTAGAATACTAATAGACAACTGCGAGACGTTGGTCTTCAAATCTAGTCGAAAAGTCATACCAATCAATACTTGCATCAAAACATTGACCGTTATTAAATGAGGTCATTTTGGACGCAACATCTAATAGGCAACAGTAAACTTAAAATAATTTCATGCTCGTGAATTGTCTGATAGTCTTTTCACTAGACGTAAATATAAACATCTTAGCCCGTACGCAAAACAAGAACTTAAAACTTTTACAGAGGTAGCCACAAATTGCTGCGTCGCACCTACGCTCAGTCGGACTATAATCCTGGCTTATATTCATACAGAACTATGTTTTATTGGTGCACTGATAAAGAGAATATTCGCACCAGTCAAACAATATCGAGTACCAGTCTCAAGTCGAGGCAACGGCGTGCTGCCTCACAAGATTGGGATGATAAATTAGATATACACAAAATGAAGTTCAACAGATAATCAAGAGTTGAAAAATACAGGAATGAAAAAAAGTACAAATTGAAAACATCATAAACGATGAAAATTTTGCGGAGAATGTCGGAAAATTGCGATTGAATGGATTAGTATTCCTCAATGAATATTGAATTGGGGCTTCAGGGTAGGCGCTCGGGAATGAGTGAACTTCTTATGGCTGCTCGGAGATATTGATGCTCCAATATGGAAGTGGATAATTGATATCTTCTATTAAAAACATATAAATATACAAAGATCTGCCGAATTCGCGGTAGAGTTCCGATCTTGCAATGAAAAATTTTAAAAGCGATTGAGGAGATTAGAACGGAAATTGAAGATGGAAAATTCATTAAAAATAGCTGCATAATTTAGCGCCATATAATGAAGATAATTTAAATAAATCGTGAGTGAAGTGCTCTGATTTGTATGTACAAGTTTCAGAAGAGAAGCGAAACGTGAAGAACTTGAGAACGGACTCACGGCGCAGGGACGATATACAAAAAACGTTGAAGGCTGCAAACACTACTGAGAAGCTGGTGTATGTCCAAGTGAGGTGCAGCTTGACTAAAAGGATGCAAGAATGCATCAAGAACTACATTACAATACGAGGTATATCAACAAACTACAGGGCAAGCTCAAGGTAAATTACAATAGAAAGTGAACATTGCTAGAACTAAACGGATGCAGGTCAATTAAGCTACAGAAACGAGGGTGGAAACTCGTAGTTTAGTTCAAGGTTTTGTTAAAACAAAATAGGCAGGAACGACAAGTTCATCACAATAGAAAGTACAGGGTTTTTAACACGCGTGCAAACGATTTTGGGGGAAAAATAAAAGGATGAGTTACTTACAATTCCATTACCAAATAGACTTTGAGTTTGTCTTCAAATGTTTCTAAAAGCTGCACTATGTTGGCGTGTGTCAGCCTGTAAATGCAAGAGAGACAAGGGATCTGAGTACGAGAAGGGAACTACGAAAATGCCGATGCACAACCAATGAATTTGTTTGATGCTTTGTACGCACAATATCAACGTACAATTAACGTTATTTATCCACATTAAACATCAGATCAATTACTGATGAACGAACAATATTCAAATATCTAATCAAAGCTTTCAAACAAAGGGCACATCAAGATGACTGGTTGTAAAGTTTTACGTCGCAGTAGGATTTTCAGTTCATATGCAAAGGAATGGTTTAACGTAACTAAGTTGTAAATATGTACAAAAATATTTCATATTATGATGGTCCTTCAAAATTAATGTACAAGTAATACAATCTACCAATTCTGAGTTATATCCACTGTAAAATAGATGATGATCTAAGCGAAAAACTGTGAAACTTTAGCCCTAGTTTAATGCATCTAGAAGATTATTATGCAGCTTAATCTTTGACTAATCATAATTTAAATGATACATTGTACTAATGGCAAGAGATGATTTACACCAATATACCGAAGCGTTCCAAATTGTAAAGCAATTCTGAAGACAAATTCATGAAAGTAAACTAGCTATCTCAATCGTACATAAAACTGACAAGAATTGCGTTTAATTCATACGAATAATTTCAACGCAGCTTTATATAATCTGTCCAATAAACGTGGAGTTCAAAGTCGAGTTTATAAATAAATATAAGTGTAATTATTTGAAAAGATTTTTATGGGAATGATTAAAAAAATAATGTAGTGGTAAAATTTTCCGAAAAATTAACTTTTAAAATCCCGCCGATATCTGACTGTTAACCTGCAAAAAAATTCAAATTCTTTCCAAAAATAAAGCTCACAATGGCCTGAAATAAGCCGAAAAAAAACTGTACGGCTGAATTAGATATTTCGAAAAAACATATAACAATAAACACAGAAACACGGGATAAACATTCATTCTTTAAAAATCTGATTTAGATTCAATTGCGAAATTTGAAATATTGACAATCAGGTGGCATTCATAGGGGAAAGTTGTATCAATCTTGTGAATTTGCGTGGAATTTGTCGAACAAAAGGTACTCTACAGCCAAGCTCGTCATCATTCGTTCCTTTTGAAGCACAAGCAAGGAAAATACAACAGAACAATGAGGATGATCACACGTTAATTATGTAGGGGAGACCAAGAACAATGAGAATAATTAGCAGGTATTGTTTCCTCATCAACGCAAATGCGTCGAAAGTTAGACGCTGAGTGAATAATTTTTTTTAGTTTGGAAAAGTGATCTTAAAAAGATGAATGCGAAACAAACCAATTTTGTAATTGTTACGCTTCAAATAAGCAAAATTTTCAAAATAATCTTTTCGTGTGTATCACGCCCGTCCAAGTGAAAGCAAAGGTATGTGGCGACAAAAAAAAAGATGAATGCTCTATTATCAGAAAGGATGATGAATCGGTGTAATTGATTCTATTTTATAGTATCCCAATGTATATAGAACTATGACCACAAATATGAAAAGTTTTCCGAAATAATTTAGACTCGGCCATAGCATTCTTCCACCAATAAATGCCCCGAAGAATTCTAAATCGTTTGCGCGAATAAAAGGAAACCTGCGATGAATCAAAGGCAGTAATTGGTGGTAAATTTATAAATAATATAACTTGGGATGTGACTGAAATGGGTAACCACTCACCACAGGGGTTATAACAAAAGTTCTGTTAGTGACAAATATTCAAGCACATCTTAATTTCCGCGGTTGAATTGTAAAAAAAAAATTCAAATTCTCAAACGACTGCGCACCGCCTTTTTTTAGGTTACTGATATCAAATATAAATAATATTTCTACGATATGGATAGCCAACAAAAGTACAGATGGGGTAGGCGTCAACGTGATAAACAACACAACACAAGACAATAAAGAGCTTACGACATATGACATTAGCAGCAGGTTTCGACATTGATTATTTCTCAAATTCGACAAACATGGGTGCTCTTACTTAGCAAGTAAAGTGAAGGTAGATGTGCATGAACAAACGCTGGCACAATTGTGAAGGGAATACGCTAGGTGCAGGAAAATAGGAAGTGATAAATAAGTTATATATGTTAGGGAATAATGACAGATTTGATGCAATTGCAATAAAGAGAATCAAATTATGTGTTGAGTGATTCAAATAAAGTGACCATGTTGGTGAGTTGATGCAATTGCGTAAATGTGAGTTGAATTGATCAAAGAGATGATGAGGTAAGAAAATGAGGTAATGAATGAGATCGTAAAATTTCATTGTAGAACGTTAAGAAATAATTGATGAATTATCCTTATTTGTAGATTGATGTACGAGCCAAGGACAAGAGGTGCAAAAGATGCGTGATTATGTAAAGCGATAAATACAATATCCAGCATTTGTTGAATTCTGAGAAGGCATTAAATTCTGGAGATTTTGGTATTTTGCGACTACCAGAGATTTGCTGTAGTTAATCAAGCTTGAAGAAATATTTAATTATAATTCATAATCAGATAGAACGTAATTAACCCTTCATTCTGCAAAGCAAATTATTTACGGTCTTAGTATGGGTCGAAATCCTTTCATGGCAATCACGGATGTAGGAAAATATTTTCTGTTATTGGATTCGTGAAACATGAAACGGTTTCATTTTAGGAGCTAATTGGACACACGTGCAGAGAAAGTGATGGATCCGGGAACGGCTGTATGTTCAGTTCCATAACTCGGAAAGTATTGATCAAATTCCTCAAGTGAGGATAAGAATGGAATTCGTACGATATTGTAATACAAGGTTGGGGCTGTCTAGTCTACACGGATATTAATTGCGTTAGATTTCGCCGGATCACAATGTACAAGACTAAAGGATTTCGACATTGAGAATGTTTTAAATTTTGCGACTAAATCAAAATTTAGAAGGCTCAAAATTTTGGGTTTAGATTTTCATTTAACGGCAAGCATTTAAAGACTTGATGCTGACGCGATCCCGGCAGCAATTCACATCAGCGATGATTTAATGAGAAACAGAAATTTTTCAAACGAGAGACATTTTATCGAGCGACAGGTGACTTTTACTGCAAATTTTATGAGCTCAATCGTGAGAGTTGATCTCTTTCATTATTTAACCTTGATCTGACGTGGCGACTTGATAACTAAAATGCTTTCGTTGTGATGAAAAGGTGGAGAATCTCGGATAACTTTTCATCTCATAGTTCGTGCTTTCAGGAACATTATATTACAGTGAAAGATTATAAACCAAGAAACTTATAAGTCAATACATGGCAACCCGTAATCCCTTCACGACAATATGATACAAGAGATTAATATTAAATGTTGATACAATGAAAAGTAAAAGGCTTACTCTAAAAAAGTTCTCGATGGAAATGAAATACGTGAACATTTTTCTCGAAAGAATTTCCGACATATCAATTTCTGATGAAAACTGATTATTAACGATAATGAAAACGAGCAACACTACGCAATTTTAATACAAGGTCGAATTATATTAAACCCTCTTAGTTGGCGAAAACAGATCAAGACTCTTTATATCGAAATCATCTGACGCGAACAACTACCAAATATTCTCACAAACGAAGAGCAACTTTTTAAAATAGAAATAAGACTAAAAATTACACTAGGTCGAAGGTCGAGCGCTTTTTCCTCTGTAAGAGCCTTACTAGGACAACAAATATCACACCCTCGAGCCTCTAGAACAGCTAGTGGACACGGAAGAGAGTGCGGAGTGTGGCTAGGTTCATGAGGTGCCGCCCGAGCGCTGTTTACAAGACCTACAGAGCGCGACCCTTGAGCAAACTGACGAACTTGGCCACATTGCCATCAGCACTCATCGTCGCGTCAATATCAGCCTATCAACGGTCGTTCAGAGAGGCTTCGTGCTCCAATGACTTGCAAACGTATTACCGTTATTATAAATTTGGAAATAAGGGAAGGCCGACCATAGAGGTTCAGTATTGCATAGTTCTCGGGTGGGAAGGGTTTTCTTCAGACAATGTGGTTTAGTTCCGATAATTTAAATTAAAGAACATTAGTTAGAGGTAGATTGTTGTTAGAAAGTATGAAATTATTCAGGGCGAAAAAGCGTTTACATTTTCAGTAATTCATCACCAGCATTCTATATACTATAAGTCAATAAAAAACACTGATTGAAGCACTAATTTTATTAATGTAATCAGCGGGTTTCTTGTACGGAAATATCGGAAATACCAAATGTAACATTTACGCGAAAACGATCTAGAGTATATATCCTTCGCGATCCCCCATGCGCAATTTCTCAACGCATATTTGACCCTTATAAATACTCTATTAAACTCTTCAATCATGAGCAAGCAGTAATTAGCACGCAGGCCAAGTATACAATTGATAGATTCTCATGAAGAAAATAAAACTTCATAAATCGAGAGTAAAAAATGAAGACCATCCTCACCGGTAAGATTTAATTTAGTTTATCGACGCTGCTCACAGAGTTTGGAGAGCCGCACGTGACGTCAATCTAGGGGCGAAGAGATTTTCTCTCATTTTTCGAACAAAAATGACAGCAAACGCTTTATCAGAGGCGGGCGCGTCAGTGAGAGTACGTGACCAATTAAGGGGGCACAAATTATACTTGTCTACGGCAGCAGGTCCATTTTAATCAGCAATATATCAAAACAAACTCAAGTTTACACTGCAGTCCACGTCCAGTCGTCCAATAAATTATTGTCAAGTCAGCAGTTTCAAATCCATGTTTAATTAATTACATTTTTATCATTATTCATGTATTTTTATTATTAAATCACAGACCTAAGGAATTATTATTATTGTATTTTTTATTAATAAATCACGAACCTAAGGAAGTCGGAGTCGTAAGTCAGCGAAACAATAGTTTCAGTCGAAAATCCAGTGCATTTTGACCAACGAAAAAGGGGCATGGAATGTGATCAAAAGCCTGCAGTAGGCGTTGGGAAACTCCACACATAATTCTACCTGATTGTAGTCAAAACTAACAG